TTCCACTGACCAACCATTAACAGGAATTCTTGAAAATGTGTGGAAATTTACTACAGGTAAATTTATTTAAATAATTGTAAATCAGTTTAAATTGAATAAATTAAAGTGTTATTATCGAAATGTTTACAAATTTATTGTCTCTAAAGATAATCCAGAAATTCAATATTCAGGTAAAGAAACATTTCAATATTCTGATAAATTTTTTAGATTAAGTTAATAAAACCTTTTTTAATAATTAATTATTTGTTAGATTCAGTAAATGGTAATTTGAGACTCAATTCCAAAGGAACAAACTTATTCAATAGTCTGGATTCAACAAATAAATTAAATTTCATTAAGAATTTAACAATTGGATTAGCTAATACAATACCAATCGATCCAATTCATTTGAATTTCATTAAGGATCAAATGGATTACACAGTTTTACCATCTACTTTATTGTTATCATATAAAATCTTAAAATCTAATAACAATGAAGAAGGTTTGCAGAAAATTAATGCTGCCCAAATCTTAAATAATTTAAACATATTGATTAAAAATAAATTCATCACTGGAATATCAAAAAACAATCATACAAGTTTCATTGATGAGAATCATGGATTTATATTTTCAAGTAATAAATACAACATAAATATGATTTATATATGCAATTCAATATTGATCAAATATATTTTTATTTAATAGGAAATTTATATGATCTTTTGGAAGAGTTTAAAATTGGTTTAATAATCATTCCAATAATGATTATAATTATAATAATATTGATTGGATATTCACATAAAAAATATCCAGAGGTACATAACATCTAATTAATGTTAAAATTATTTTTATTGTATGTATGCTAATAAATATTTAATAATTTTTAGGGTAACAATATTGTTATTTTGAAATTTTTTTTGATTCTTACTGATTTTATATTGGACATTTCATTTATAGTCAATAATGGTAAAAATATCCCACAATTATTTATACCAAGGTATCTTATTAATAATTTTATTAGCCGAATAATTGATAAATTGATAAATTAATTGATTTTTAAAATTTTATTTTTAGTATAATTATCTTGATAATATCGGTTACATTTAATTCTATATCAAGCATTTTTATAGTCATTAAAGAGATCAGTAACAATCAAGAATTCTATGAATGGTTTAAAAAATATGTAAACGTTCTGGCAATCTTTACAGTAATTTCAAGTACAGAAGTTGATACATTGTTGATATTATCATCAAAAATGGCTGGATTGAAACCATTTTCTGCACCATTTTCATCAAATTCTTTATCATTAATATTTTGGTGCAGTTTAACAAATTTTTTTATTGAAGATATACCACAATTTATTATTCAGGTTGGTCATTTAAATTATAATTAATTCAATTCTTTAAATAATTCAACTAAAAAAAGATTTGTTATTTTTTTTAAAGGTTATCTATAAGAATGCTATAGTATCATATGACCTCATTCCATTTTTAACTTTGATAACTAGTTCAATTATTATTGCCAATAACATTATTACCAGATTATACAATGTAATCATAAATATTAAAAGAGATAAAAAAGCATCATTGTTGCCAATCAACAAAAATTCACCTGTTCTTGGCATTGAAAATATTGATAACAATAATAATAATGATGATAATGATGATAAAGATGACAATGATAATAAAGGTGTCATTAATATTTAGTATAGAAAAAAGATTATTTCAAGACATTCATATTAACCAATCAATGTATCATGTTTTATTTAAAATGTATATTGTTATGGACAAACAACTTTTATCAGTTAGTACACAATACTTGTATTTGTAAAATTATAAAGGAATTTCACCTTTTGTAACAAAAATTCATTATGGTATTTATTATTCATAAAAAACATGAATTTTTCTGTTTAATTATAACATTCTATGAACGCATCCAATGTTTTAATATTAAGGAAACATATTTTATTATTATTTGGTATGATTCTGAAGAAGACATGCTACTATTATTAGTTATTATTAGCCAATATTTTTTTTTGTGTTAATTAATAAACCTATTTTTATTTATATAAATATAAATCAAAATGTGGAGTGTATTATATAGTG